TGCCGTGGTTCTCAACCTTCGTCGTGCCGCGGCCCTTTCATACAGTTCCTCGTGTGGTGGTGACCCCCAACCATAACATGATTTTTGTTGCTACTTCATCACTCATTTTGCTGCTGCTATGAATCGGGCGAGCCCTGTGAAAGGCGACCCACAGCGGCTCCACTGCTTATTTTATCTCCTACTTGCTATGTCTTGTTTTCTATTTTCTAATTTCTCCAATTTAATTGCCCCAAATTTTTATTATTAAAAATTTTTTTTCTGCTGAATTTTTAACCCCAACAGTTTAATTGGCATATAATTTATGTATCATGTAATTCAATAGTGGTCAGTCATATCAAGAAGAATTGTACAATCATGACCACATCAAATGAGCACTCCCCACCCCATCTGCTCAAGTTTAATATTCAAGAACTCACTCTTGTACAGTCAGTTCTTGTTCAATGAAAATCAGTTTTTCTGAGTATTAGTGATACTTTATTTTGAAGTTTATTCTATTTCCCTCATTATTCTTGTCTCCCAGTTTTCTTTTTTTACTTGCTAATTTTAGTCTTGCTTTTTTTGGAGTTTGCCTCAACTTTGTAGTGCTTGCTTGTTCCTGATTGAGGAGGGAGGAGTAAAAGGCCAGCCTCTTTGTAGAGGGGACGAGTCAGCTGGAAGGTTGACTGTCATTGTAGAGCAGCTGTTCTCATGAAATCAGTTTTTAATACATCATAAATTCAGATAATAAATTTTGATTTCTGTGACCGTCATGCTATCTATACAACTCTGGTTAAATTTTGTTAGAAGTTTTTATACTTTGAAATTATCACCCATCAGGAACAAGTATTGAGAGTAGTGATACCAGGAGGGGAAGGGGGAAAGTGGGGGGTAGAAAAGGGGAACTGATTACAATAATCTACATATAACCCCCTCCCAGGGCGATGAGCAACAGAAAGTGGGTGAAAGGAGACAGCAGTTGGTGTAAGACATGGAAAAAATAATAATTCATAAATTATTTATAGGGTTCACGAGGGAGGGAGTGTGTGGGAGGGGGGGAAATGAACTGATACCGAGGGCTCAAATAGAAAATGTTTTGAAAATGATGATGGCAACATATGTACAAATGTGCTTGACACGATGGATGCATGGATTGTGATAAGAGCTGTTAAGAGACCCCAATAAAATTATTTTAAAAATAATTTTTATTTTTAAATATATTCCATTTTATGTGTTCAGGACATATTCGTTACAATATTGTAGATACATAATTTCTAAAGAAAGTTGAGCTTTTGGATTCTCAAGAAAAACTAGTTTCCTAACATTTTGACAAAATAAAGTAGAACTATGGAGGGAAGGGATTCTGTTTTAGGGGTATATTGACTAATTGTTTATTAAACAGGTCTACTAATACTGTTAAATCTAGAAGAATATGTGTCCACTGCTCAAACTTTATTCCTTACAAGGTGCTATTCTGTTTCTCCACTGTGAATTTTGACATCATGAAAATACCTGAGAAACGTGCTTGTTTTTCTTGGGTGGTTTTTGCATGACTTCAGAGATTCTTGAAGGCGTAGGGTGCCGTCTTCCCAACATGCACTCACTTGAATTAATCAGCGGTGAATGCCGTCTTGTGTTGTTGGCCAGTTACCTGGCTTTCCTGGAATGCCTTACCAGGCAGAGTTCTGAGTATTGCCAGACTCAGTGGTTTTCTTTTTAATGCTAACGGACACTCTGATTGCAGTTTTTCCTATACAAAGTGGGGATTTTACCTTTGTATTTTATTTTTTTAGAAGAAAAACACTTAAGACCTGACCTTTTAGTCATTTCTTAAAGATACATTTGCCCATTCACCTGGTCGTGAATGAATGCCTTTGTGTCCAGTTGTTGCCTGATGACAGAAATACAAATATTGCTTTCAGACAATTCTTAACCGCGTTGGGAGGCTTATCCTTTAATTCCCTTAATGTATATAAAAACATTATAAAGGTATTGAAATAAAACATTATAAAACAGATAAACTCCCCTGTCTTAAAAGAAAAGTGCTCTGAAGGAAAACTGCACGTACATGTACATGTACACGGGAGAGTGTACAGCAAGCTCATTGGAGCTCCCGTGGGGGTGGCTCAGTTTGAGATTGGAAGGATGGGTAAGTTTGGCTTGGCAGTTGGTGAAGGAAGCCAAGAGCCAAAAAAAAAAAAAAAAAAAAAAATGTCTAAAGAGGTTTTTTTGGTTTCTTTAAAATGCAATTATTTATAGATAAAATTTTCCCAAACTTTTAGCCTTAACAATTTCAGAGAGGATGATTTGGTAATATTAACATTTACACACCTACTTTTTGCTTACTAACATTTCTCATTGGTACAACAGTAAAAAATATGAGTCAGGCTCTTACAGGTCTTGTAACACAATCCATTTATCAGTCACGTTTGTGCATATGGTGCCACCATCATTTTCAAAGCATTAAAAATATATATGAGTCAATTTGACAGCTGCTGTGGCAGCCTGGAGTTGAGGGCTGGCTCTGGGGAAAGTAAATGGGGTGGGAGTCGGGGTTAAGAGCAGCTCAGGGGCAGGGTAATGCCGGGGTAAGGCCCCAGCAGTCTAGGGGCTCTAGTGCGGGTGAGGCTGAGGAGCGTGTGCTTAGGGAGTTCCCTCACTGCCTTTGGTGGTGGTTCTCAGCTGGGGCCTGTCTGGGGGTGAGTCCAGCTGGGTGTGGAGGTATGGGACCACCAGATGGAGCAGACTGGGCTGGCCTGGGGAGCAGGAGGAGGGGACTGGGGCCTTCTAGCACCACCAGAATTCTTCAGAAGTCAGAGCAGCTGCTCAAACTGAGGGATGGCTCCTGGGAGGCAGGGAGGAGTCCTTCAAGTTCTAGACCAGGGAGAGCGGTACTGGGAGAGCATGGGCACCTCAGTTGGGATGTGGTAGACCTGGTAGCCTTGATTTGGCAAGGAGGCCCCAGCCCATCAGGTCGAAGGGTTCTTAGGTTGGGCCCATGGGGATGCAGGAGAGGGACAGGTAGTTCAAGGTGTGTGTGAGAGAAGCCATGAGTGCCACCACTGGACCAAGAGGAAGAGGTGGTGGTTACAGCAGGGCATAGGGATATACAGGATGCCACGGGAGCAGAAGAGGACTGGGGACCAGGGAGAAACGGGAAGCCACTGGTGACTTCTGCAATATTCTGCTACCTTCCCATCATGGTGTCATTGAAACCATGTCTGCAGGAACGCTGCGGGCATGGAAGTTATGTACTTAGTAAGCGAGTTGGGTATGTTTTAAAAGGGTCCCTTGTGGCACCTGGATGGTTAGTTTATTGCTTCAGACCCACCAGTCGCCCCATGGAAGTCTTGGAAACCCAAGGGCAGTTTTTATTCTGTACTCTGGGGTTGGTTACTGAGTGAGAATGGACTTGATGGCAGTGAGTTTAGGTTTGTCATCTTGGGTAGACTTTACATGAATAGTGGTGCTAGGGGTTTATTAGTTTTTAAGTAGGGCTATTTAACCAGTGGTGTACCTTGATTTGTTTCTATCATGATTAAGTAAATCCTGAGGACCACAAGTTTTTGCATTGAGGATAAGTACAAAGAAAAACTCTTTTTTTTAAGAGGTGCAAAATTGTCAAGGGCTGAATGGACATGCTAACCGGCAGGCATGCCGAGAAGGCAAGCTGCTTGTGTCCAGAGGGTCTCAGAACTGTTGCTTTGCTTTCTTTACTGTCTTAGAACTACTCATCGTGGGGTTTTTCATGACTAATGGTGGCCTTTATATTCTTTACCACAAATGCTCTAGTTTGTCACTTTGTCAGTAATTCATAGTACAATCAACACTTGGATTTTTAATACTGACTTTCATAGAAAGGAGTAACTTTCATTTTTTTCCCCTTCCCAGTTTTCAAGTTAAGATTAATCCTGGACTTTAGTATTCCAGTCAAGATGTTATGGAATACATGCATAGTAATAGTTACTTTAAAAAAACCAAAAACCCCAAACCTGTTGCTGGCAATTCAGCATTAATTCTCATAGCTTGCTTCAGAAACCGTGATTATTGGTTAAACTAGGAGCATGCTTTTTTGAAATTAAAGTGTATTTTTCTAAGCCTACCATACAACTAAAATGTCTAGTCTTAGAGCATGCTCATTATAAGCAGGGGTTTTCAGTTTGTGGGAAAATGAGATTGAAAGATAATGCAGTTTTCCCTTGCATAGTTTTTGATTTAGTATCATTACCTATCATTAAGTAGATAAAAACACTTTGAATTTTTACTTAGTTTGCATTACAGGAAAACAAATTTAACTTTAATTTGAATTAAAAAAAAATTGACATTGTTTCATTTAGGATTTGCCCCAAAGGAAGTTCTTAAAGATTATCAATACTGTATTAGGAATAGTGTAGGTGGTTCAATGTTAAGAATTATTGGCTTTTTGAGAGTGGAGTTGGATTTCTGACCAGTGCGCACACTGCAGCCACCACTTGTCTGGTTTACATTTTGCTGATACTGAACTTCATTGTATGAGGTCATCGTGGCGGCTAGCAGTAACATGTGAATTGCATTAAGAGCACGGCAGTATTTTCATCTTAGTAATCACCTAGCTCTGCCCTTTAAAGGAGGTAACATAGCTGCTGTTACCTTTAATTCAAGGTGACCTTATGCATTCTCACAGGTGCTGTTCAATAAGCATGACATTGTCCTCCAAAGATTAACCCCTCCTCGTGAGGGCCCAAGCAAGGGAACCTAGACAGTGTTATGATTCATAAGACTTACTTTCATTGACTGAATTTCAGAAGTAGATCACGAAGCTTTCCTTTCTAGTCTCTCATATTCTGCTGAAACTTGTTTACCACGAGGACCTGCTGGTATTTCGCAATCTTAGCAACATGCAAGCCAGCCACCACAGTATGATAAACTGAATGAGTGCTGGTTTTAAATGATAGTGTTACCAGTTTGGTGACTAACTTCTAAAATTTTACTTGATGTATCCTTATTATGTGTACACTGAAAGTACCCTTTTCTCTCTGCAGGAAATGCACAATTTTGAGGATGAGTTAACGTGTCCCATATGTTACAGTATTTTTGAAGATCCTCGTGTACTACCATGCTCTCATACATTTTGTAGAAGTTGTTTGGAAAACGTTCTTCAGGCATCTGGCAACTTTTATATATGGAGACCTTTGCGAATTCCACTCAAGTGCCCCAATTGCAGAAGTGTTATTGAGATAGCTCCAACTGGCATTGAATCTTTGCCTGTTAATTTTGCATTAAGGGCGATTATTGAAAAGTACCAGCAAGAAGACCATCCAGACATTGTCACCTGCCCTGAACATTATAGTCAGCCATTAAATGTTTATTGTTTACTAGATAAAAAGTTAGTTTGTGGTCATTGCCTCACCATTGGTCAACATCATGGCCATCCTATCGATGACCTTCAGAGTGCCTATCTGAAAGAAAAGGACACACCTCAAAAGCTGCTTGCACAGCTAACTGATGCACACTGGACAGATGTGACGCATCTCATTGACAAGCTGGAACATGAGAAAGCGCATTCGGAGGAAATGGTCCAATGTGATAAGGAAGTGGTTCTCCTGTATTTTAAGGAGCTCGGCGATGTACTGGAGCAGAAGAAGGAACACCTCTTAGCTGCTCTCTGTGATGTTAGAAATCTGATTAATCAAGAGTATACTCCACAAATTGAAAGATTGAAGGAAATAAGAGAGGAACAGCTTGAATTAATGACAGAGACCACATCTTTACAGGAAGAATCTCCACTTAAATTTCTTGAGAAAATTGATGATGTCCGTCAGCGTGTGCAGATGTTGAAACAAAGACCGCTTCCCGAAGTCCAGCCTGTTGAGATTTATCCACGAGTAAGCCAAGTATTAAAAGAAGAATGGTGCAGAACAGAAATTGGACAGATCAATAAAGTCCTTATTCCTGAAATGAAAATTTCTTCTAAGAGGATGCCACCATCTTGCTGGCCCGTTAAGGATGAAAAAGAAATTGAACTTTTTAAAATCTTAAACTTTGTTATAGTTACACTAATTTCAGTGCTATTGATGTTGATACTATTTTTTAACCAACATATAATCACTTTTTTAAATGAAATTACTTCAATTTGTCTTTCTGACATCGTTCTATCTGTTTATCAAAGTTTTTGCAACAACCTGTATGATTTAAAGGATAAACTATGTCACATTTTACATTTGTTGAAGGAATTTACATAGAAAACTGATTCTCGTTGAAAACTCAATACGCTTATTCTGTACTATAGACTTAATGGAGGATAAGGGATAGCATGGCTAAAGTAAAACTTAACTTGCAACATGTATAGGAAGATACTTTTCATATTTCTGATAGAAACAGAACTGACACATGATACTGTGGAACATGATTCAAATCTTTAGAAAATGAGAAAATACATGATTTGAATATTTACTAAAAATATCTCTTTGACTTGATAAAAGTTAGTTAAAGGTGGTAGTGGTTTAGTCTTGTCATTGAGTTTTCGGTAAAAACTCAACATGTTACTTGAACTGAACGGAGTTGGTGAGATTCCATTCCTAACAGATTTTTAAGGACATATGTTACCGTTTGTCTTAAAAATTTTGTTTAGAAATAGCTTTTCTATGTTCTTAACATTCCCTTAAGCTGATACCAAAGAGACAATTTACCATATATACTCAAGTGTAAGCCGACCATACCTAATTTTACCACAAAAACGGCATTAAAAATGTGCTGAAAAACGAGTATATATGGTATGTGAATTTTGCTTAATTCAATGATGAGCTGTGATGCTTGTGGTAGGGCAATGCTAGGTGTAAACTCACTTTCCAAACCTCAAGAGGCAGTTAACTCCTACACCTTTGAACTGAAACTTTCGAGGCTAGGTTAGGGCAATGTTTCTGCCCTACACATTGCATTACTTCTACAAACCCAACTACAGACACGGCTGCATTGATTTCACTAAAATCTTTACTTACTAGGAGGAAGCTTCAAAAAGTATGGGGAAAAAATCCTCGTTTTTAATCCACCACCCCCCCAAACTCTTTGTAGCCCCCTTACTTGCCTTACCACAAAAGTGCTATATACTGTGGAGCATTGAAATGTTAACTGTTCTGCATTGAGCACTTACTCTCAAGTTGAAAATGAGCATTGGGTTTTTATAAAATGACACAAAGGTAACTTGCTTTAGCCCACCATATAAGGTGGTAGTGAGAACCAGAATTCTGATCCTTACTCTTTCCATTAAGCAAATTTAGTCTCTTTAATAATTAACATTTTAGGCTTTTGCTAAGTATAAATTGCCAAGTACTAAGTAACATGCTACTGTTTCAAATTTCTTTTTACCAGGATTGTTTAATGTAGTAGTACCTTTAAAGTTTTATATATAAAAGTATCTTAATAAACTCATTTTGATATTTCATTACCTTGGAATGGCTTAGTGAAGAAATGGAATCCCATCCTCTAACCACAAAGGAGAACCTAACTTTCACACAAGCCCAAGGCCAATTTGCCATAAGGTAGAAATCAGGCATGCCACTCCACCATTTTTTGACACCAGCTGTCCTCACACAACACGCTTCTCTATTAAGTTTAATAATTCATTGCAATGGACACACAACTCAAAATACTTGTAATTATGGGGGTTTATTATGAAAGGTAAGTTTTACATAAACGCATTTCAACATAGACATCTTTGTTCCATGGCCTGTCAGCCATCAGTTCCCTAACATGCCATGTTCCTTGGGGCTGGAAACCCCATTTCTGCTTCTATAGGGTCTCGGCACTGCCTCTTTTATAGTCTCAACAGTTTGGTGTTACAGCTTCTGGTACCACTGCCACCAATCCACCCCAGTAGTCTCTTTTGAAGTGTTCTCAATCCAGTGGAATGATGGCAAAACTGATCAGTCCCATCAGTTTTTCATACCCTATCTGCAGTTCCACCCAACTGGGTAATTTCTCTGGAGCATAAGAATATGTGGATCTCTGAGATCTTGGTCTGGGACCTGGTGTCTGTAGTGACAGGTGTAATATCATAAAGCACAAAGTCCAGCTGGGCCCACGTCAAGGCTGTTGGTTAGTGTAAGGACACCACGTTTTCTCATCTTCAAGCCAAGAAATCTGCATTGCCATGGTGACTGGATCCAGAAGTAGATTTCGCCACACTGATGACTTTTTATTGTTAACTAAACCCAACAGCTAAAAAGTAACCCAACCGATTTAGTCAGATTCCTGCAACTCAGAAAAATGAAGTATCAATAATCGAGGCACTTTTTCTTTAGAGACTTAACATAGTCTAGTCATTCATGTTGGTTATTGGTTCTCTTGCAAAGATGTTTTTAAAGAACCAAGTCTGACATAAAGAAACCACCTTTAAATTCTTAGCCCGGTAATTCATAATGCAAGTCATCTAAACCTCCAGGTATTGTCTATGGTTTACAAAACTGTCCATCTCCTACAATTCCCTAAAATAGAACAGAGTATTTTCTTGGACTTGAAACATGTATCTTATACAATTATTTACAAAAAGAAAATACAACACATGAGCCACGCAGATTGTTTGAGGAATCTTCACCATTACCAATGTCAGCAAAGTCCTTTAGATGCAATTTCCTTTGGGTTTACTGCAACACTTTTGGTTATATTGTATGTCTTATAAATTCCAATAAGTCTATCCGAAATTTCAAACATATTATTTCGAAGAGAAATAATTATGAACTGAGCATTTTTTGTTTGTTCCTAAAGAGAGAGGAAGAGTTAGAAACAAGTTATAACAGGAAACAATAATAAACACCTAAGCTTTCAACTCCCTAAAATTATTTTTTGAGTAATAAATTCAACCTTATATTGATAAATCATTATGAACAAAAATGACATGATATACTATATATATATAAAATAATAGGTTTTGGGAAGGATCTAAGTTTTGGAAGCAGAGTAGCCTAGAAGTCTTGTAGCGGTAAAGATACAGGTAGCAGGAATAGCCTAGGAATCTAGGTCTTAATTCTAAAATGCATTAACTGCTTTATATTTTACCTTTCCAAAATGGAAATAACACGATTTAAAATAAAGGGTGAGAGTAGGTCTACTTTTAGACTATGGCATGTGGAATTTAAAGTAGGTAAAAAGCTCAAAGTTCCATGCATAAAACTTTTAAAACAACCCCCCCTAAATGTTTACTTACATATATATAAAATGCAACAATAGATACGTTTTTAAAATCAAGGGCTGCATCAATCTCATCCATGAAGTAAAGGGGAGTGGGCTTATAGTGATGAAGAGCAAACACCAAAGCCAATGAACTAAGAGTTTTCTCTCCGCCAGAAAGGTTAAAGATCTTCTTCCAACTTTTCTTAGGTGGTCGAACACTGAAACCCAAAAACCTTTATTAGTCACATTGCTTGTTTAGACTACGATTTTCAACTGGCTCCACCACCTTTTTCTTGGGAAACCTCTTGCTTGCTTTACATTTAAGGATGACCACAAAAAAACAGCAGAACAGCTGGCTGGATACATAGTCTAGTCTCTTTCCAGTATTATTCTTCACCTTAATTTCTTTACCTTTTAATTAAAATAGCTTAAAAATATCAAAGATAACGATGAATATTTTGTTAAAAGTCAGTTATTTAATGTTTATAATTTATGATGTAAAATGTCAGTTATGTGAACCAAGTTACTATATTTAAAATGAAATAAATTTTAGATCTAACCTTAATATAGCACCCCTAATCTATAATATTAGAATTTGAATATTTATAATTACAAACCTGAACATGATTCCTTCAGAGAAAGGGTCCAAGCTATCTACAAGCTCCAGTTCAGCATCACCTCCCAAAGTTAGCATTTGGTAATTTTCTTTTAATTTATTTGTTATCACATAAAAACCTGCCATAAATTCATTCAGTCTTTGTTTCCGAAGATCTTCATATGCCTGTCTAAAACAATCTCTTTCAGAAGTAATTTTGTCCAATTCTGACACCCGTTGCAAATATAATTCTTCCTATGGAAAGAATATCATCAGCTCAATAAAATGATTTTAAAAAGGAAAAAAAAAGCATGTCAGAAATTAATCTACTCTACTAAGTGAGAACTAATGTTAATCATGTGAAATTAAGGTGTGATAATTTAGGCTAAAGATGGAAGAGCATTTCGAAATAGTAAACAACAGCACAGCCATACCTTCTTTTTATACTCTGCAATGGCACCAAGGTTGGGTTTCATTTCATGACACTGGGCCTCCAAAAGTGCAATTTGATTCGTTATACAATCTGGATTCTTTATTGCTTCAAGATCCTCTGGGCTTAGAAGGAGAACCTCTTCAATAGGATTATCTTCTATAGGATGCAATGCTATCTTTGACATCTGAAGGTTTAAAAATGTTGAGACATTACAGCCTTGTGATTTTAAAAAAGTGAACGTGTGACAAATTACATACCTACTCAAAACAGTATACTGTATGGCTAAGGAGTTTGAATTTATGCGTCAACTTACAAAAAATCAATATGGCAACTTTCTAGACGGTTATAGGTTTCTTATATCCTATAAATCTGAGAAGGGATTATATTAAGAAATTAATCTCAACATACATTAAATACAAAACCCACCTTTACCCAAAATATACATTTTTAAACAAGTGAAATTTAAATGGTAAACAATCTCACCTCTTTTTGCCAATATTTTATTTTAGAATTATGTTCAGAAATATGACCATCTATCTGTTCAAGTTTCAACTTAATACTGAGTGCATCTTTTTGAAGAGCATGCTCATTCTCTTGAATTATTTTTAGTTCTTGAAGAAGATTTCGATGTTCTTTTTGAATCTCTGGTAAGGACTTCTACAAAAGAAAAGAAATGCTATACACAATCTTGGCAAATAGAAAATGAGTTGCCATGGAGTTGATTCTGACTCATGGTTACCTAAGTATTTTAGAGTTATAAAGGGTTTACAATGGCTCATTCTTCAGAACTAAATTGCCGAGCCTTTCTCCCAAGGCGCATTTCAAGGGAGACTCCTGTCCAGTCTGTTGGGTAGTAGTTCCCAGGGATTCCTCCCAGAGAAAACACTCTTACATTAAGAAAAAGTTAGGAGGATAGGAGCACGAAACTCCTGGTGATTACACAGCTCATTTTAAAACTGATTTCACCATGGGGGAAAACAGAGGTGTTCTAAAATGGACTGTGGTAATGATTGTACAACTGTTTGTGATATGATTGAACTAATGAATTGTGTGTGGCATAAGTGTCAATAAAACTGTTAAAACATAGTGCCACTAGGTCTACTTCATACATGCCACAAGTTTATTCCAAATAAAATGTGTTTGTGCTTAGTGGACGGCTG